AGCAGCGCCAAAATGCATGAAAATTCAGAGAAAATCGTGGCACTTCTGCCAACACGTGCCCAGTGCCCCCTCTTTCTCTCCCCAGGGACCAAACCATTTGCAGCAGATTCTTTACCTCACACAATTTTTAACAGCATAAGATCAGTAACCAGTCCAAAATGTGCAGCAAGAACTGCTGAAATGTTTTAAAACTAAGCACCTTTCCCTGTGCCCAACAGACTCTTTTCCATTCCACTCTGCAAAGGGAGGTCTCTCCCTCCCTCCCTAACCTCTCCCAAACACCTTGAGGCACCATGACCAGCTCTTTGAAAGCTCCGTCTCTCCTACCTGACCTGAAGCAACAGCGGAGAACCTACTTGTCCTGCATATTATGGCTTTAGTCCCATGTAGGTAGTTGCATTTTTCCAGCACTACTGGAAAACATGTTGCTTTGGCCCTTGGCTAAGAGTCAGTGATCAGGGGCRTGGAGAAAAAGCCTTGTCCAGTGGAGCAAACACTGCATCAAGATCATGTTCAGYTGTAGGTCTTCCAACTGCCTAYGAACATGTGGATGGAAGAGGCAGASCAAGAGCTTGGATGGAGRAGGMAGGTGCTGTGTGTGTATATACACATRGACATCTAGGCATTTCTTTGCCCAGMAGGCTGGAAACAGAATATTTTTAGGGATATCATGATCTTCAACATATCTGTGATATCGGCTGACTCCTGAAGTGAGTTGTGGTCTAGAGTGGTCTGCATCAGCTGAAAGGGGACAAGTTAATCTAGCTCCTTCAACAGAGTTGGCACTCCAATTTGAGACTTCCCTTACCTTATCCTGCACCCACTTCAATATCAAGGCAGCCAACTCACTTCCTGATAGAGAAATAAGCAATTGGGATATTTCTATTAGGCACTCTAAAAATCCCACCCAATAGAGAAATGTAACCATTTCCCTCCTGGGAAGCATTTAGAATATTTTCTGGGTACTAAAATAAAACATACCAATGGAAAAGTCCCATGGCTAAGACTATTTTATCTTCCTCTATGATTCTCTATTCCATATATTAGCAGCCTGTGCATATGGACAGAAAATGGATCGGGAAGTGCCAATCAGCCTTTATGAATCCCACCAAGCTGGATGGGAAGGCTTGGAAATGAGTCAATGCCATTTCCATGCCAAAAGACTCTCGGGATGTTACCCAAACGTATCAACTGTCTCGTCTCCTCGCACCCCAGACACACATCAGCAGTTCTCCATTTCATCTAATACTGCCTACATTTGTTCAAAGTAAACACAGATTGTAGGAACGAGGGCACACTGCGTCTGGGTGGATCGCTGTGCGAAAAACAAAAGGACTGAAAATCACTGCTCAAAATGTGAACTTTAAGTCAGGCTATCAGGCTAATGAAGCAACAATCGTCCTAACAAATGGCAGGGAAGGAAACCTATTATTAAGAAAAGAATATCAACCCCCTAGGTAGAGGCTCTATTTTCATTTATGTTGAGGTTAGTTTGCACCACTCTGGATGCATAGAAGTGTTTTACACTGAGAATATATTCTATTTCTCTAGTCCCATATGGAGGATTCCATGATGCCTGCGACCAGCCAGCTTTCCTCTTCATCTCCGGCAGAGCTGGAGCACACCAGACATATCTCCAGTAGGCRCCTAGGCACACTTTCTAACTACGATACTATTTAATCACTCTTTAGACCCAAAGTAAGAGAAGTCCAAAAAATTAAAGGACCGCCACTCAAATCTTCCTACTATTCTCCCATCTCCAAGGGCAGAAGCAGCCATGGTCTAAGCAGATGGGACATAGAAACATGTCCAATCCTTGGAGCTGTGTCAGGAAGATGAGGAAGACATCCCCTTTGTTTGGACAAATGAGGAACTTAATTTCTGCAATAGGAAATACAACAATGCAATCACATCGCTTTTYTCATCTGGTTGGCATTTGAATTGCTCCAGGTGTTATAATCAGATCATCAGACACATTTTGAAGCAGTCAAAGAGTCCTGAAGAGGAGACCCTAAGATGCTAAGCAGATATTTGTAGACTTAACTGCGTTGCTAACATGTCATAGCCTAGCTTTTTATCTGGGACACTGATAATTCACAGAAAGGCTTTATTATTACCCAAATAAACTTCTAGTTACTCTACCAATTTGTTGCCAAAACTACAAGCTAAAACTGCTCTGAATAATGACTAACCAYGAGCACTCTTTGACACCTCCTGCCTCGACATCACCAGACCTTGAGTCACTTTGGGGTCCTAATCCCAAGCTTGCAGACAAGGCGACAGGGACTTATTGAAGGGATTGCAGCTAAACCTGGAGAAAGACAAGTCGGGGAGGAGAAATGAGAGAGGTGGGATTGGTACCCACAAGGCAAAGCAGGATTTCAGCCCCAGTCTCGGCCAAGGTGGGCACAGCACCAAACGAGCCCGTCAATGGGGCCCTCAAATGGCATTAACCACTACGGGCTTTGCCCCAGGGGGTCCACATGAGACTTGGCTGAACATAAAGGGCTTTTAAGAATTTTAATGGGGTTTCCATTGCTTTTTAATTGCTCCTTTTTTAAAAAAAAATAAAAGTGCCTTATTAAAAGAAACTGCTGTGGCTGCAAGATTCCCTGTGGAGGTCAATGTGGCATTTTTTACAAGGGAAAGGGGGAAAAGTCATACCATGCTAACTCCAAAGTGGGACGAAAAAGAGATTTTCTGTGTTATCCTCTCCTCGGACACCAACCCTAGCATTTGGCCAGGTCAGGGACCCGGGCACACTGCAATCAGGGTCCCTCAATCCTCTTCCGATGACCCCCTGGGCAGCCTGGGGCAGAGTTTCGATATCACGACACAAACACGGTGCCTGCTCCATGCCAGGAGCTTGGATGGGAGTGAGGAGCTTCAGCAACCACCCCAGGGAAGCCAATGTGTGCAAATCCAAGCAGAGCCAAGGGTCTGCAAGCTTTGATCACAGCTGCACAAAGAAATCATGCAAAAGGAGGGTCTTACATGCTGCAAATGCCAAGGTTTGTCTGCAGGGAGCAATGCAGCCTCTGCCCAAATGCCCCTGGGAGCGAGCAGGGGACAGAGACGTTCCCGGATCGCAGTGGGCTCCGTGGCACCAGGTCCAGCTCGGACACATTCAAGTGTCTCTCAGACACTGGGAGTGAAGTGACTTTGGGCAGAAGACATCTGCTTATCCCAGGGCTCCCTTACCTCCTCGATCTCGTTTATTAACCCTTCAGACCAACCCATGGCCCTGCTGCCTTCAGGACTGAGGATCTTGGCATCCCTCCTGCAGCTTCCCAAAACAGACCCCGCCATCAGCCAGCAAGACCCCTGGGTCCCATGCAACTGGGAAAGTCAATGTCATTGCTTACATCTGCAAAGTAACAGGCAAAACGCTGCGCACTGGGAGCTGCACCCAGGGCATGGGCATATTGGAAAGGTCCAGAGAAACCCTTCACCACAGGGAAAAAGCCTCACACACCCAGTGCTGGCCCCAACTTCTCTTAACTGCAGAGGAAGCTCTTCCTGCTCATTGCACTGCGAGGCAGAGGGAGACAAAGCAGCCGTGGGTTGCGCTGATTTTATCCCGTCACGCGTGTGTCGAAGCACGTAAAAGCCCCGGCCGTGACAAGCAGCTGTAATTCCACCCTAATCCGCTCACAGCTGCGCGGGGTCAAAGCGCACAACAGCTGAAACGCACTTTTGCTACATGTGCTTCAGGTTGCCCACACTCACCCCGGGGGCTCCTGCCTTGTGATTTCCATTAAAGCTGGCAGGCGGGATTCACTGCTGGCATGAGTCGACTACCGATCTATCAAGATTCCCTATATTTAGCTCAGCGAGGCTAAATAAACAGTGAGGAGATGCTGCAAAGCAAGCCTGGGAGCTGGACTCYGCAGGTCCCCAGGGGCTGCTTTGCTGCCCCGGAGCACAGGCTGCTGCGTTGGCAGCGCTGGCTCCCTTCCTTGCCAAATCCGTAGCCCCAGGGTGCTGGGAAGCCTGTGGGCTGGCTGGGGAGGTGGCAGGGGTCGGGATTCTCCAYCAGCAAACTGGCAGCCCCAACTTTGAGTGCTGGTCGTGGGCCAGTTTGCAAAACCAAAGACYTCAGCGAGCTCCGGAGCCTCCCCATCAGTCTCCCAAAGAAGTGACCAAAGCTCCAGCACTGAAATGCTGCTGCCTTGCACGATGCAACAACAGAGGAGATGCAAGCGATGGTGAACGTCCCACCTAGAGGTGCTTAAAATGTTCTCGGTGACCAGTGGGAACTGTCGGCTTCCTAAAGCAGGGTGTGAAAAGGAAGGACTTGCACAGTTCCCCGGGTGTATACGCACACACAGCACATGTGCACATGCATGTACTGCCCATTGCTCCTCACTGCTGGGGTATTGTTTATTAAAAGTCTGCATTTGCTTCATTTGCTACATACCCCACAAGCTCAGAAGCCCCTGCAACCAGARGACTTTCCATAGGAAAAATGCTCATAAGCCTATGGAGTGAACTGCTCCTCGGGGTCTCCCTGGAGAGAAGTTGGCACCTCACTTGGCTTACCCTGAAGGAGGTGCTGGCATTTGTGTGCATGGACTGTGTCCCCAAGGGCTATGGGGGGCTCAGGGAAGTAGCTTGGAAGCAGATGCTTAGAGCAATCCCTTACAGCTTGCCACAGTCCCAGCAAAGACACAATTTGCAGTACAAATGGGCACAGAAGCATGGAAGCAAAGCCCGTATCAGATGGGGTCAGAGTAGGGGGTCTACAATGTGTAAAAGCAGCAAGAATCTGCTCAGATCAGAATGGCAATGCTGGGTGCCAGCTTCAGCTCATGAGCAGGTCACACATGGAACTTTGCTCAATAAGTTTTAAGAGTTACCACAGAGATCAGCTTCAAAAACAAGAAGGTATCAGCTCCCCAACCGGGCTGCTGCCCAAGGATCAGGAAAATGGGGATCTGCTTATCTCAACCACGAGCACTTGCAACCACCAACCACACAGCAATGTCCGCGTCCCTTACCCTGTTATCCTCCTGGATCTCCCAGTCGCTGGCGAAGCCCAGGGTGTGCTGCGCCTGCGAGCAGTTGGCGAACTGGAAGAGGCTGGAGAACGTCCKCCTGTTCTCCTGCGTGTCTGGGAATATCGCCTCCTGGAAGTTCACGCCGTGAGGGAGGAGGATGTAGTTCTCATCCATCCTGAAACACAACCCGGGAGGCTCCCGTAAGGACCGGGGGACCCTGGGCATGCCCAGGTTGGGCAGGGAACGCCGTGCGGGGGCACTCCGAGCATCCCCGGGCCGGGGGGCACTTAGAGCATCCCGGGACCGGGAGGCACTTAGAGCATCCCGGGGCCACTCACCGCAGGAAGAAGAAGTACGCGTAGCCCTGCAGCACCGTGTGCGAGTGGCACGAGAAGTAGCCGAGGCCGGTGAGGTTGAGGCGGGAGCCGGCGGGCACCTCCAACATGCTGCCCCACGCCTGGTCGCACAGCAGCTCGATCTCGGCCGAGTAGAAGAGGCCGCCGGCGCCCGGCGGGGGTCCCCGCTGCCAGGGCAGGTAGTTGTAGGCGCCGTAGGGGTCGGGGTGCAGCGCGAGCACCCGCGCGTACACGATGATGGCGGCGAGCTCGGCGCGGCAGCCCTCGCTGAGCGGGCGCCACTCGGCGGGCAGGTCGCAGCCGCCGCCGCCGCGACAC